TACGATATGTTTAAAATTTACTACTGATAATGTATGTATATATATGTATATATACATATTTTAGGTAAGAATCGCATTTTGTGGGCCTGAAGTCCACAGTATAATCTGTTTGAGCCCTGATGGTGTCTGTCAAGGGACATGACAGAATTAATGCTAGCTAGTTTTCACCAGATTAGAAGGGTATCTATGGGATTGAGTCAACCTGATGATGCCAGCAAATGCAAGTAACAGAGGAAATGGTGGAATCTGTCTTCATTTTCTAGTGAGATTGAGTTACTTCCATGTGAAATGAAACTCGACTATTTTAATAACAAATATACTTTTCACCTGAACACCGGAAAAAATTGAAGAGCTGTTGCCTGTAGAGTGCTCAAGAAACTTCTCAGATTTCAAAGTAGTCGAATTATCAGCAGCCGTGTTGATAGTTGCCTGGGCGAGTTTGAAGTTAACAAAGATATCCGCGAATGCATCATCAATGTTGGCTGGATGAAAAATATGGTCAAAAGTTGCAGATAAAGAGAAGATAAGGCAAAGAAGATAAAAGTACTAACTGAAATTGCGAGTGTAAGCCGATCTCAAACATGTATTTAATTCGCAGGCCGATGGATTTGGTGATTGGTGATGGCTGGAAAGCGAATGTTTGCATGTTGGCCGAAGTCTGAAGTGGAAGTGGCCTAGTTCGGCTCGAGTCAGGAGGCGGCAGAAGGTTGGATAATGCTTCCCAGCAAAGCAATACCACAAGGAAGCCAAGTCTCCTTCTTCGCAGGCAATCTCAATAAGCCTGTCCATGTCATCGGGGCCTCAGCCACGGACGAAGTCATGCCCATCACGAAGCCTATGCAAAAAGTCACTTCTCCCTCAGGAGGCTCTGACTCGAGAAGTTTGATGTTTTGTCATTACCAAATTAATTTAAGGTGTGTGTTACCAACTTGCAGTTCATTTAAGCAGACTTTATCTACCTTTGCTTCTCTACTGAACATGCATATGCTATTTGGCCGTTGGCCTTTTTGGGGAGGGGCAGCTGTTTGGGCACGTACCGGTAACCTTAGCCTCTGCGAAAGGGTTGGTCTCTGCGGCCGACTGACAAGACTTTTGCCTGAGAGCGGCTGTTCCGGACCCGGCGTAACTTCTGGACGAGGTCAGACCACTCGGCTGGTCAGAGGTCCCTCTCGAAGTCGGATTGACTGCCACTGGACTGAGAACGGTCCAGTTTATGTTGGAGGCATTTGCAGAGGACGTCAGCGAAGGGTCAACGCCAATCAGGGCCGTTGAGGAGGGTGTGGAGAAAAGAGGTGCCGAGGCTGAGGACGCGAAGATGGAAGGAGAAGAGATAAGGACTGAGTTGCTGTCAGCTGCGGGCCAGGGAGCATGGTCCACGGGAGGTAGAAGACTGTTTTTCGGAGTCACCTTGATCTGCATCGGCACTGGCGGATTGGGCATCTGACGCGGCCACGAGCCAACGCCAAAAAAGCGGAGAGAATCAAGACAGAGAGGCAATCAAATCAAGGAATCGACGATTTCAAATAGAAAATAAGGCAAATTCCACTAGCAACTATATCCACGACCTTTTGTGGTTTAGGCTGGCTACAAACTTTATTTAGGATCAATTGATAATAGTGAAGCCTACTTATTATTAATATAAGTAATACAGTCGAGTTAATGGCAAAATGCAAGTTTTCTTTTTTGAGTATGTTTTGAGGCGACCGGCATAGTTTATATAAGAGCTGTATTTACCTTATTTTGTGTAAGGTGGTAGAGGACTAACAGTTTAATATTCCTAAAATACTATGAGTAAGCATCGTGTTTTAACTGACTTTTTCGTTTATAAGTACGGTCTCGAGACTACCAGTAAATCAGTTATATGCGATGTATTCATCATATTTCGTTTAAGGTGATGAAGGACTGGTAGATGAATTTTCCCAGAAAAACATGAGTGGACCTTAAATTTCTATTGAATTGCACATAGTCTTACTTTCAAAAAATATATTCCCATCCAAGCAGAGGTGGACTGCAGTTTCGA